TACTAATCTTATTTTTCTTTAGTTTCTTGTAAATGTTTTTTTGTGTTCATATTGTAAATGCTCATTGGGGCTAGTTTTTAGAATTGTTGTTTTATTAATCCCCCCCCCAGAGTTAGTATTTTCATAGAGACAAAGAGGTATTATGGTGGTTGTAGTAAGAAAGGTACGTATGAATGTGTTGTTTTGGTGTAAGAAATATTGTTCATACGATTGGGTCAGTGTTTGCGGCTAGCTAAGTTATAGTTAAGACAGAAGAAGTCTGTCCTTTCCCCAATCCCCTTTTCGGCCTTGTGCCACATTTCTGTAGAAAACAGAAGAAATATCGCTTTCCTCTATGGTACCTGCACTTTATGAATTTAAGTGTAGATTGTTGATAGAAGCAGTAATGGTTAGCATCTAGGATTGAGGAATCAGAGGGTTGAGTTCAAATTCCAGTCGAGTTCATTACATTCACTTACGTGCTAATATCCTTAGGAAAGGTATGACACCATCTCTTCTTCCCCAGCTATGGGTAAAATAGCAGGACAGACTGTCTGGACTAGTTTTTCAACGTTTTCAACGCTTACTTCAAAATTTAAATAACTTTGTGGAAACATTATAAAGTCAATGAAATTATAGATAAACGATATGTAATCGATCAAAACATATTGATTATAACTAGTTTCTAAAGTTTTTACACAGTTACATTTCAAATTTTGCCTTGGATGGCAACCAGTCTAGGAGAAGGAAAACTCTGAATTAAAATTAGATTGGACTATACTATATTGTGTATAAATACAACAGGGAATGGCTTGTGAATCCAAATTCCAGCTGAAGCTCCTACTATAAGTTTGCACATCCAAATGATCACAACCCCTGAATGCTACAATAAGTACAAGTACTAAATTGGTAACAAGGTCTTCTTATTTTAAAGTTTAAATGGCTGGATGTAACCGTAAATTCTATGCTAAGAGTTTCTTCTCCCATACTTCTTACTTGTGGAGCTCTCTTCTGGCTTCTTGCTTCCTGATCAACTTTGATCTTCAAAAATTTAAATGCAATATCAAACGTTATCTTCTGTCTTTTTAATTCTTGTTCTTTTATTGTTCACTCTCAGTAACACTCAGTAACCCATTACATGTATTGCCTTGATTGGGTTGAAATGATTAAAAAAAAAAAAAAAGTTAATACATAAAAGTTGAAATGACAGCAGCATTATAGACCATAATTTTTGTTAAGTTCAGCTCTTTGTTGTTATAGACATGATTGATTAGCTTTCTAAATGCCTTGTGTGTAGCTCCAGTTCTGTATTTCACATCCTTTTCTGATGTTCACTTATTTGATAAAAGGCTGCCTAGATACGAAAAATGCTCTACTTGTTCTAGAGGTATATCACAGATGGTAATATCAAAATCTGGTAAGATGGTATTTGGGGCTAGCTGTGCAATGACGTTGGTTTTCTTGATGCTTACTGTAAGGCCAAAACAATGGCAAAGTTGTTCACAGACTGTTGGAGGTCTTCTTTTGAAGAGGGGAGTAAAGGGTTGAAAGTTTACATTAGCAGTAAAAAGATGAATTTGAATTTGCACATCAAGTTCCCTGTTGTATAAGACTTCATTGTGAAAATTTTAACCATAAGTTCCATGCTAACAGTTTCTTTTCTCCCACTTCTTGCTTGTGGAACTATCTTCCTGCTCCACACTTTCTAGTCAACTTTGATCTTTAAAAATTTAAATGCAATTGTTATCTAATGTCTTTTTGATTACTCTTCTATTGTTCTCACTCCTTAATAATGTTTCTCTTTTTTATTATTATTTTTTTACCATCAGTAACCCCTTGTGTCTTAGTAGCTTTACTATTTTGCATGGAGTGATATGATTTAAAAAAATACTATGAAATTTCCATAGGTTGCTTCTAGTTATTATTATTACAAAATAACCAATAATGTCATCTCAAATTTCCAGGAACCAATTCTATAAAGGCAGGTAATCTTTCGGTACCTGTTCTACTTATTTTCTTTTCAATCTGAGAATGGAAGCAATTCACTTTATAGTATCAAAAAGAATTAAACCATTTTGATAATTTAATAGAAAACATTTGTCTATTAAGATATTTTCAGATTGAAATTTTGTTCTCATAATATTTCTGTTCGGAAGTATGATGCATTTTTACTCTAGTGTCATAAGCTGTGTTATGGTTTCTTAGCCAAATTCAAACACAATCACTGCAGTCTTAAAAATCCAGTGGAAAACCTATCAAATTTATAACTAGAAGATTTGCCACATTTTTAACTTCAAGAAGGTTTCTTTTGTCAGAATAAATTTTGTTCAACACCGAAAACCCTCTTTCAGCCTCTGCAGAATTTACAGCAATGGTATTAATTATATTTTTAGCTATTATAAAATAAGATTATTTTCAGATAATCCAACAACCGGAATTGGTTTGTGCTAACTGGTGTGAACTGGTAGTATGCCACCACTGAATATAACTGCAAATATTTTTCAGATGTTATAACGACAGGTATAAGTATTGAAGTTCCAGTAATTTTGAGACATTATTTGAAACTTGAACTCAAAGATGCTTTTGGAAATGGAAGGAAATGAAATATCTGACCAAAACTGGTTGAATCATTTTGTGGGTGGTGTCTTGTCCCTTGAAATAAAGTCCCTTTATGACTCCTCTATATTGTTAATACTAATATTACAATCATATTATAATTCAGCTTGTTCCTTAGTTAACATGTATGTTATATCCTATGATGACTTTCCTATCTCCTGTCCACAAACTCTTGCTGTTGCTTAGATCAATGAGGTTGCCAAATTTGATCACAGCTCTCCACAGATTCCCTTTATTATCTCTAAATTGTTCTTTATCTTTGGAAAAATAGTGGAGTGGTTTTGAATTCAGATGTGTTTTTCTCTTAGACTGGCCACCATCTAAGGCAAGAGAGCCCAGTCTTACTGGTATCCCAAAATGCATTGTGAAGGAAAGTAGGTTGGATGTGACACACTGTGTTATAATTAGACTTGCTTTATTTGCCAAGTGGAAACAATGCAATGAATGTGATTGTCAGGTGATGTCATGAGTCTGTTAGCATTCACAGGAAACCACTCATTTTCTGTACCACCGTTTCAAAATTTGAAGAAGTCACGGTGAATTAAGTTTCTTTTGTTCTTTTTTTAAAGGTGATGTCATTTTTATTAGTATTTTTAGTATCAAATTTTTGGATGCCCCGCCTTGAAATAGAGAAAGATCTTTCAAAAGTGATAATTTTAAAAGAATTAAAATGATTCTTATTCAAGAGAGAGAGAGAGAGAGAAAAAAAAAAAGAAATCAAGAATTTTCTTTCAAATTATTTGATAATAATTCTGTAGCATTCATTATTTTATTGGACAAAGCATGCTGATTTTTTAATTATGTTTTTTTTTTCTTTTTATAGAATTCAACCAAAGTTTCTTCCTTTTTATTCATAATAATTTGTAGAATTTTCCACTCAGCTCTAATTAGGTTTTAAAGATAGGAATTCATTACAAAATTAATAAATAAATATGTCAAGAAATGAACAAAGAACAAATCATTTTTTAGGTTGAAAATATTCAGATTTTGTGCTTCTTAATATCTCAGTTTGAATATTAAAAAAAAAACAAAAAACAGCTAAAATTTTTCATTCAGTAAATAAGGTCTGCATTGGATAAGAAAATACATTTGGATTATACAAAGACATATCCCATCTTCATACACTGTTATTACGCTATCACTATTTCCATGTTGGCTCACAGTCATATCCCAAAGTTAAGCAATTTCAAGTCCGGTCAGTACCTAGATGGGAATACCAGATACCGCAAGCTTGGATATGTCAGTGATGTAATGGATAATGGCACGTAATTTCAAATCGGAGAGCTGAGTTCTAATTCCAGTTGGGTTCATTATATTCACTTACATACAAATACCCTTGTAAAAAGTATGACTCCATCTCTTATCCCCCAGCTATAGGTTAATTAGTAAGACTAGTATCACTAAATCATTATTGTCTTCAAAAATAATTCCTACAATCTAAAAATATTTTCTGGCTTTAAATAACCTGTAAAGGGTTGATAAGCCATAGAAACCAAATCAATCATATTTCCATGGCAAATATTCAGATAAACCCCATTTTTCAGAGTCAAAAAATATTGATTTGTTATCATTTTAGAGTGGGGGCAGGGCAGTGTAAAATTGATACCCTGAGTTTTACAAAGTTATTGGCACTTATTTTTTATTTACAAATGTTGTGCTTTGAAAATGCCCTTTATATGCATATTTCTTGTCTAGAATTGGGTTTCTGGTTCCCCTAAAAGTCTAATTTCAACTCTGTACTCCTAATATCTCTGCCTGAACTCTGAAATTTTATTTGCTAATAAATCTTGACCTTTTCAAGTCTGGAATTAGCTGTCTAACTTTTCTATTATCTTTTCCTTTCTCAAGCTAATACAACTACACACAGTAACCCTCTACTTTGAGAGTCACATGAGCCTTGCTTTGGGTGAACATTAGTGATAAATAAAATAGATGAATATGAGTAGTTACTAAAAGTTTAGCTCTAATGTATTTTGATCAAAGAAAAAATATAGAAATAATTATAGTAATATGTTTAACATTAGATTTGTTAGATAATTTTGTACATGTTATTGGTGCAGGAATAGCTTATTTTGATCAAAGAAAACAACACAGGATATCAGAAGAGGGCAAGAAACCACATCCATAATAAATATATATATTCTGTTAACTTTTGTTGTCATTAGAGATTCTGAGCTCTTATTGGTACAATAATAGATTGTAGCTTGGACTGAAGAACCGGCTAGCCAAGTTTGAATTCCAGTCAAGTTCGTTACATTTACTTATGTGCTAATATCCTTGGGAAAGGTATGAATCCAACTCTTCTGCATAAGTGAATATAGTGAAGGAAGATGGAATTTAAACTCGGTTCACTGATTGCCAATTCTGAGCCAATATCCATTACATCAGCCATGCATACACCCAAGCTTACAACACCTGGTATTCCCAAGCAGTCACCTATCAAGGTAGTGATTAGGTTTGATGTTGCTTAACTTTGTTGATCATATGAGAACCAGGGCTTCAATGTGATATGACCATAAGTCTGTGTGTGTTTGTGTGTGGACATAGGAATAAAACCTGGATGCTGACTTTCAGTTCCATGCTTAAGTGATATTTCGAGTTGATCTGATGTCCACTCTCTATAATTATAAATGCTTTATCTCCAATACTGGCACTTCTGCCATAAATATCACAAATTTAAACACACAAAAAACTTAGATGCCAAAAACATATTTTGTATATTTCTTTTTTGATTGCCATGTGGAAGTACAATAATTTTTTTGAAAATTCAGAAACTCTGTGATAGCTTAAAATTTGCATTTTTTTTTTTTACTCCTGTGGCAGTGGAGACTTCTGGGGTTATTGGCCCTCGTTCAATGGCGTTCCTTCGGAGGATTGGTGCAATTGCGTCTCTATTAAGGGATGAACCTCATGAAATGGAGTGGCTCTTGCAGCATGTCTCACTGGTGATGGTTTGAGATAATGCTTTCTCCATCATTGTGTCTGGCAGAGGATAGCAAAAAAAAAAAAAAAAATTGTTTATAGTTACTTTGTCGTTGATTGGTTATGAATATAAAAAATCAAATTTGAAGCTAACGACAAAATGTATAAGTTAGTTTTTGAGTTTAAGTAATATAACTTAAATCTACTGCATTCTTCTGCTATTCTGTAATGAGGTTCAACACACATACACACACACATATATATTATAATCATTTTTTAAAATATGTATTCATCGCGACACAAGTGAAAAATGTTGAAAATTTGCAATACCTATGAAGAAAGAGAGAGAGAGAGGTTTTGTTGAATAATTTAGACATGTTCTGTTTACTTATTTTCAACAGTACCCTTTCACACCAATAAGGGCAAACATATCTGCAGTGTGGATTTCTATGTCCATATTAGCATACACACACACACACACACACACACACACACACATATATATATATATATATATATATATATATATATATATATGTATATATGTGTTTATTTCTGTCCACACAGAGCAGCAGAGACATATATATATATATACATACAAACAGAAAATTTATCTGAGCCAATGTGCTTCGTTTTTTTGAGGGACTTTATCAAGGCAAAGATAAGTTTTCCTTTTGTCTTTATTCATAATGTTCCTCTGTCTGAAAGTTTTACACATATGCGCACACTCTCTCTCACACACACACACACACACACACACACACACACACATATATATATATATATATATATATATATATATATATATATATATATATACACATACACCAATATCCCTGTAAGACTAATGATGAAAGTATTTATTTTATTAAATAAACATGTACATTTTAAATATAATTTCTTTCCTTGTCTGTGTATATATTTCTGTGTTCATCATGTTTATTTTGTAATGAACAAAAGTACACACACACACACACACACACACACATATATATATATATATATATATATACATATACACATACATATATATGTATAAGGTTTGATGTGATAAAAATTGAAGCTGAAATAAGTACTGTGAAAAAATTTGTCTTATGTTCATAAAATGAAATTTGATCAACTTTGAATAACTTGTAACAATAAACATTTTAAGGGCCAAATGCAGCTAAATTGACTCTTTGTGTAAGGAAATACTCTGTTTTTTGAGACCCATAACGATCTTAAAGAGGAATGCAAACCTCCAATGCCTTTACCAAAAATATTGCTGTAATGAAAATCTATCCCAGTCTCAACAAAAAATTAAAAAAAAACAACAAAATAAAAAGTAAAAATACAAAAATTCATAAAAACTAATGTCATATTACATCATAAATCCCTTAACCCGTGCGGGTCATAGTGGTACCATGTGTCCTGTAGCAATAGCAGCTGTGGTGTATCTAAGGCAAGATAACTTGCTGGGGCTCATTCCTCTTCAGGCTGATTTTGGATTCAGAGTTTTTCTTCTGGAATGATTGCCACCTCCAAGCAAGAGAGACCAGTCAGCTACTGGCATAGTGAGAAGGAGAAGAGATGGATTCATACCTTCTCTAATGCTTTTTGTGGGAAAGTGAATCCAACAAACTTGACTGGAATTTGAACTCAGTTCACCAATTTTTCTTTCTGATTTGCTAACCATTGCACTCTCCACAATAAAAGAATAAAATAAAATCTATATCAATAAAGCATAGTGTATGTGTGTCTGTCTGTTCGTTTTTCAATCTTGGCAAATCATAAACAAATTTAAGTAACAAGTAGTAACTATTGTAGTTACACGCAATTAAAAATTAAATAAATAACTCATTTAAAGTTAAATTTAAATGTTGAACATAGTGAAAGGTTTAAAAGACTATGCTTTAAAGGTTTAAGTTAATTTCGCTTTTCGTTGCAGTTGCAATTGATATCGTCTAATTAAATCATAATTATAACATAAGCAGGGCAAGGTACATTGCTCATATTTTGTTTCTTTTTCTAGCACATGTTCTGTGATGTATTCTAAATATTACATAATTGGGGTTCCCTAATGTCTTTTAAGAGTGACTTTGTGTAAAGTGATCATAAATAATGGTGATTTTAAAAGAAAATAAAAATTGCGCACAAAATAAATGTAAACAAACTACAGAGATTGGTTGTGTTTACAAAGAAAGATTATGCTGAATTAAAGTGTTGAGTAAAGATAAAATAATTTTATTATTTCTAAATTCTTTTACGTACATAGGATGCTAAAAGCAAAAGGCTGAAGGCCCAAAAGATCTCCGCAGCCTAAAGTTCACCTGAAGGGTGGTTTCTAGGCTAGTAAAAAATAAAAAAAAAAAAAGAAAGAATAAAAATAACAGTGCTAGCACAAAATTATTAAATTTTTAATTATCCAACAAAAGAATGATCAAACCTGAAAGATTTAAGTGCAGTACTAGATTGGCAGCTAGGTCCCATCATTTTACTGCTGAAATTACTACATTTAACCAGAAGTTCTATGTTAATAGTTTCTTCTCTTGCACTTCCTACTTGTGGAACTCTCTTCTGGCTTCTTGATTTTCAGGTAATTTTGATCTTCAAGAAATATAAAAAAAACAACTCAAATATTACTGTCTTCACACAAATTAAAGTTTCATATGGACTCCCAGTTTGTTATATGACTGTCTCACAATCTTCAGACATTTAATGGGCAAGATAGAGAATTGGATATCTTGTCCCATGAACTGCCTGAAGATTGTGAGACAGTCGTATAAGAAACTGGGAGCCCACATGAAACTTTCAGTTGAGGAAGGACAGCAATATTTGAGTGTTTTATATATATATATATATATATATCTTGGTTCTGTTTATATATTTTACATTGATCCCTATTCTTATGGTGTCCTTACTTGTTTCATTCAATGTCCTCAACAAAACCCAGAGATGCATATGCAATGCGATAGGTCCTGATCTGGTATCTCATCTAGTCACTTTCTCTCAGATGTGCTGTGACTTTCCTCAGTCTTTTCTACAAATATTTTCATGGCAACTACTCTGATGAGTTACTTTTACTGGTACCTCAACTGCATGACTTTAAGGATGCTACTAGGTTGGCATGTTGATCCCACTCTTTCACTGTCAAAACTGTTAAATATAACTGCCTCTTTTCCTCCAACAACTTCTTCTCTCACCCTTCCTGACAGTGGAACTCCCTTCCTCCTTCATGCTTCCCTGATGCGTATAATTTTCAAATATTCAAATATAATGTCAGTCGACATCTTCTGATGCCTTGAACCTGATCACCCCCCCCCTTTATTCTTGTTTTCACTCTCTGTAACTCCTTGCATTCTAATGGCACTACCGCCTTGCTTGGGGTAAAATGCTTAAAAAAAAAATGTTTTTGTGTATATATATATATATATATATATTATTTATTAAAGACATTTTTTTATGTTTAACGTTGTTATTTTTTTTATTTTTTTTTATAGATACAAGTATTTAAGCAAATGCTCTGTTTATGATAAACAGTATTAAATAACATTTACCGAACCCGAAATTATTCGTTCTTTGAAAATTTCTCGACATTCAGGCCGGTAAATGTTATTTAATACTGTTTATCATAAACAGAGCATTTGCTTAAATACTTGTATCTATAAAATAACAACGTTAAACATAATAAAATGTCTTTAATAAATAAATTGTCGGACCTTGTCCATTTCTTAACATATATATATATATATATATATATATATATATATATACTGTTTTACAGACAGTATAAATTGAGTAATAGAAAACAATTGCCCTTTTCAATGCCTGAGGAAGCCTTTTATTGCTAGAAACCATGGTAGTGGAAAAGGTTAGTGTTTATAATATTTTAGATTTTATCTCTCTCTCTCTCTCTCTCTCTCTCTCTATATATATATATATATATATATATATATATATATATATATATATATATATATGTGTGTGTGTGTGTAAGCATGTGTATGAAGTTATATTGACTCACACACCTACAAATCTAATATGAACATTTGAACACTATTTGAGTAATACAAGAAAGGTATGTTGATTTAAATCATTTTTTTATGAGACCATTTTTATGGGCCCCTCAGTGAAAGAAGCATTTTAACCACTGATTTTTTTAATTTCCTACCAAAAACAGGACCAAACCTGAAAGACTGTTTCATTTGTCGACATGTAAAATCTATCAAAGATAGTCAAATGTTGATCAAATGTTGGGAAGTCAGTCATGGCAGATGTCTTAAAGATAAAAGTTTCTGCTCGTGATTGCATAAGAAATTAATAAGACAAATAAGACAGAAAACAGTCATTGATCTCTATAGAAAAACCTACTCTCTATTGCAAATCTGTAGAATTTGATCTATCTTTCAGCTTTTTCCACAGACCTGCTGGTAATGGCCTATTAGCTCAATTGGTTCTCAGTTATTACATGGTTATATTTCGATTCACTCTCTAATCAACCCACTTGCACACTATTCATTTCAGCTAAGAAACTAGCCATTAAGAATCAGTTATATAATAGAAATAATCCTTTTTTTTTTTCTCCCTCTCTTTGTTTCTTGGAGAAGATGAATTTAT